TAACTATGCTATATATAAACAAAGCCAAACTTTAAAGCCATGATAAAAAAAGATTTTGTAGTGTCCATTGTCTCTTTTTTTTTTTTTTTTTATAAAAACTAAGTGTGTAAAGTAGCACAATTTGTCAAACTTGACAAGTATTTTATATTATACGAATGACAAAATATTAAGAATTCTAAAATTAAGATGTTTGATCCGATTTTTTTTTTTTTAAAAGATTAAGTTGATTAATAAATTGGATCAAATCTGGCACCTAGTGTTAAACTTCCTCCCAATTTCAATTTATTTATCGTGTTTTCATTAAAAAAATCTCTCTTTAAGTGGAAAATAATTTTAGAGTATGGCCAAAAGACGGATGATTAACCAAAGACCTATCGAAAATATATTTTTAAATTGTAAACACAAGAGTATTTCTAATCATTCATTAATAAAAAAAAGACACGCAAAAATAAATTTAAAAAAACATTCGAATTTTTTCCTTGGTAATAAAAGAAAAATTTATGGTTGATTAACTTGGTGGTAGTGGAGTAGTTTCACAGTATATTAGAAAATTTTTAAACATAGACACGAAGATATCATAGAAATACAATAATTTTAAAAAAAAAAATAAGACATTCCACACACCTTAAAGACATATTACATAATAAATAAATAATTATTTATAATCAATCATAAATATAAAATATAAAATACTTAATTTCTAATTTCAATACAATTAATTAAATTCTTAAAATTATTATCACTATTAAAAAATACGATAATAGTGTACGCACATATTTTGATGCAAGTCATACTATGCATGACTTTTGCTATTGTATATTTTGATAAAAAGCTTCGCAATATATTTAAGAAGTCGCATCTTAACATTAACTTTTTCATCATATCTGAATAGGATACAATTTAATAATGCATTTTACAGTCATTTTATTATATAATTTTATTATTTTTAAATTTTATTATTTTTAAATAATATTATAAAAAATTATTTCATTCTTTAACAGTACTCTACGTATGACACGAGTTTTAACACCAGCATGATATATGCATTTATCACTTTCCTTGCATTTTTTATTTTCCATCTTCGCAGACGACGACAATTAAAAAACTGTACTACTAAAATGAATTGTGGTTCTGCCACCGGCTAGCATTAATTGTTGTAACTGTAAATAGTAAACGATAATTAAAATAAGGGGAAATCATATTTCTATCCATATGTTTTTGACGTAATTAACTATTAATAACATATAAAATATTGGCTAAAATAGCTATTAAAGGACTATTTCTATTTATAAGAAGGACGATTTAGGCATTTTTACTATACATTTTAGAAAATCAAATGTGTTTCAATAATTTTTTTAATTTTATGAAAATGGGAAAAGTTGCTAACGCCTCCATTCTTAAATATTTGTCGCATCTAAAAAAGTATTGTGTTCTAAAATATTTGTTATATTTGTAATTTTAAAGAGTAATAAATTTTTCTTTTGTATTTACCCTTTATATATGACCAACAATTATTACTTCAATTCTTCGACAATTTAGAGTTTGAATATATTAAATTAAATAGAATATAGTCAATTTATATAATAATTTATTATAATATAAACAAAATTTAAATATAATAATTTATTATTAATATAACAAAATCCACTTTTTTTTTTCAGAGTTACTATTAAAAGTGAAAACCTTTTTTTTTTCAGAGGTACTATTAAAGTGAAACGGAAGGAGTAATTTGAAAATAATTTTAATTTGACGGAAATTATAAAAAAAAGTACCTCTTATTGTTTGAATTATAATTATAATATTACTTCTACCAATAATTTCAAACAAATGGGAGTAAAAAATTAAAGTAGGACCATGTAATAATTAATAAATGATATTAATTACCTAAAAACACAAGTAAGGGACAATCCAATCAATGAGTGATTGTGAGGAGGGAGTGGGTACCTTCTTTTTGACTTTTGCGGAGAAGTAACAAACACGAAATATCAAATCATCCCTTGCACACAAGAGTATAAACGATTTTTAAGTCATCTCGGGAACTGTTCGAACTGGTTTATGAGCTGTTGGAGTCTATTCACTTAGTAATTGAGTCGAACTTCAGCTTTTAAGCGAGTTCAAGCTTAAAAATTTTCAAGTTGAACTCAAGTCTAAAGTTGAGTTTGAACCAAGTTTGAGTGGAACTTGATCCGAGCTTGAGCTTTCATCGAGTCAAGCCTGATCCTAAATTTTTAGGCTTATTGAGTTTTGAGTCAAACTAAATTCTATCGAACTGAATTTTGAACTTGACAGGTTTGAATTCAGCCGGTTCGAGCTCAACTCGGGTCATTTACATCTCTGTCCAAATGAGTATTCAATGAGTTCACATTTGGATTAGTGGAAAATATGGAGGAAAAAAAACAAAAAAAAGTTTTTTTCTTTGTTTGTATTTTGTTTGTATATGAAATGAAATAACATGGAGCGGTAAAATAAATGTTGTAAAAAAAGTTTTTTTCTTTGTTTGTATTGAAATGAAAATAACATGAGGGTAAAATAAATGTTGTGTTCACATATTCTGTCCAATATTAGAAGGAAAGTTGATGAAAAATAATTAAAATTAAAATTTTATCTATATTATTGTACTTTCATAAATAGAAAGTAAAAATCTCACTGTTCATAAAATTATTTTCTTTTTTCGGTAAGAGGAAAAATACTTTATATTTTCCCGCTTTCCTCTCTAAATTTATTTCCTCTCCTTCTAAAAAATCACGTAAAAGATGAAATTCAGTCTGATTATTAAAATTTTAGAGTAATGCGATCAATAGGTTTGAAGTTGTACACTCTATACTAATAATTATGATAAATATATTAACGGGTTGTGGCTGAGTTGTCAATGCAGACTGGGCACGTGGAAAAAAATTTTGAGTTCGATTCTCACTAAAAACATTTACAGGGAAGAGCGAATAGTCTTAACTGTGATCAACTCTCGAGCTGGATTAGGCGGTTTCTGGTAATGGATTCCGGATACCGATGGTTTAAAAAAAAAAAAAAAATTATGTTAAATAAGTATTTTTATCCTTTATGGACTGCCAAGAACTTTGTAAATATGCTGAAAGTGTAATTTGTGTTAATCCGACGGCTAATAAAATATGATGTATAAAATAAGCTTATAAATAAAATATTAATCCGATGGCTCAGTTTACTAACTCCTCGGTGGTGACCATTGCTATGACCTATTGAATTGGCTTTTCCTTCTCCAACGGTTAACCATTATTAATAGCTTTTTTCCATAATATTTATCATATTTTAAATTTTATGTTCTTTAAGAAAATTAATAAATTTGTTTAATTGTTTAAGTCATAATAAATTTATTGAGTAAATTGACTAAAATTACTCTTGATTTAATACTCATTTCAAAAAAACTATTAAATTGAAGTAATAATTTCTCGGCATATATAAAGGGTAACATGAAAAAATATATTTATTACTCTTTAAAATTATAAAGTGATTTAAATATTTTAGAATAAATTATAAATGTGATAAATATTTTAGAATAAATTATTTTTTCAAATATAATAAGCACGAAACAGAGATAGTAATTATATCGAATCTGATTGGTATTGATGGCCGCCAACAATAATGCTGGTCTCTATAGATCTACAACAAATTTGTTGAAAACAATTGTTGAATTTGAGCAATTAAATGAGATAAGGATTACAATCTCCGTTTTTTATATTTGTCACATTTAATAAAATATTATATTTTAAAATATTTATCATATTTATGGTTTTAACGAGCAATTTTTTTTTTCGTGTTCACTTTTTGCATAAAACCAATAATTATTGTGTCAATTCTTCAAAAATTTGGTGTTTGGATGTATTAAATTAAAAGTAATATAATCAATTTACTCAATAATTTATTATAATTTAGATAAATTTAATAATTTTTTTAAGAAAAGTGAAATTTTAAATGTTGCAAGTATTTAAAAAGAGATGTAGTAATTTGATTTAATTAAAGAGTATTTATTTTAATTTAAGTGATTTAATTACTTTTTTAATTACTTAAACTTTTAATGTTGTTGAGTTACTAATTAACAGAGATAGTATAATGTAAAAATTTTAAACAACAAATAAAAGTGGATAGAGAGTATTAAATGATCCATATTAAATGATCCGTGCTAATTGAAATTTAATTTTTTTAATATAATAATCAAGGCAATCAAAGCTATCAAATTAGCTAATAATAATAATAATAACCTTTTCTTTTATTTTAATAAATTCTTTAAATATTCATAAAGTGTTTTTATTTTAAAAGGAAAAAGTCATTTTCCTTTTATTACTTCAACTTTTCTGTAATTTTCTTTTGATTTATAATATGGTCAAATACATAAATATAACACTGTACTTTACGGAAAAATTTTGTGGCACCCTGAACTTTGCGAGTTACTTATTATGCTCCTGAAGTTACAAATTTTGCTAATACTATGTCCCTCTTTATACTAATAATAACATGTTTTTGGCATTTTTAGTATTTATGTGCAAGATATTCACTTAACATATGGTTAGTATAATATTTGAAACAATAATTTATATGTTAGTATAATATTGAAAACAGATAATGTTTATATTTTTCACTATCTGATAAGTGTGTAATTAAATTAATTTTAGAAGTTTGAGTATTCAATAAAATAATTTATGCAAGTTAAAATATTTAATTGATATAATTTTATAAATTAAAGTATTTAATAAGTTTTTTTTTTTTTTTTTTTTTTTTTTTTGAAAGGCTGTTGATTTAAGTGTACCAAACAGTCGAAAACACACAAAATGGGAGCCTAAAATAAAGTTTGGAATCAATCAATACAAATTAGTCAGAATGCTTTTGACTCTTAGCAACTTGTAGGATACAACAATTATAATATCTATAAGCTTTCTTTATTTTTATTATTATTATAATTCTAGTTGGGGTTAGCGTTTTGTCTCATTATGGAATAGAACTCCGATAAATGGGTGGTAGGTCTTCCTGCATTATCCAAGCCACCCAAGTCATTAGCATTATCAAAGTGTTTGCTTGATGGTTTCAATGGCAATGGAGTTTCGCGTCCTTGCAACCTTAGCTTTACTCTCTGTAAGCATTATAGTAATCTGCTCTTTCTTCTACAGAAGATCGAAGCTTTACATTTAACCAGTTCAAGCTTCTTCTTCTTTTTTTCCTGCGTAATCAAAACTCTGACTAAAAGAAGTAACGAAAATTTTTATGGCAGGTGGTGGTAATTGGAACAGGTAATGCTGCTCTACCTGCTGAAATGTATTGGCATTCCAAGTTGCCAAACACTCCTATCCCACAAGATCTTCTGAGTCTTCTTCAGCACGGTTTGTTTCTCATCTCAATATTTCTCTAGAAACGTTATTCATTGCTTTTATTAGTAGAATTTCGTGTGCATTGCAGCAATATTGGTTAAAATATTTTTCTGCAGATCAATATCTTTCCTTTTCCCCCTCCATTACAATGCTTTTATAGATAATATGCTATTTTTTAATATACAGTTTACACCGACTGATTCCTCAAGCAATATTTAGGCCCAAATAACATGCTTCTATAGAACTTGAATCTGGATTAGTCCACTGTACTGGATATCGATCATCTTTTTTTCATTTTTTTTTTAAATTTAATAATTAGTAAATATTTTATTTTTTATTTCTTAATTTTTTATTTAAAGAACAACAATCCATATATTTTATTTGATGGATCATCTCTTAGCATATCCGCTGTAAGTCATTTATGATTATGAGGCTAATACTTAATTTTCCAATTCAGCATCTGACTTTTTGACAAATTGGGTGATTGACTTTGAAAACATTTTAGCACCCGACTCACAGACAGAAGCAAGACACCTATCCTGAGCTTGATACTGGGACACTCCCTCTCCTCAATTTTACGAAAGAGATAAAAAATTTACGAAAGAGATTAAAAAAATTAAAAAAAAAAATAAACATAAAAACATAAAAAAGATGCATTTGGCATAGAAATATTTGAAAATAATGTAGTTTAACTTGGATATCTTTTTTACATACGTGGCTCTACTACATGATAATTTACATGTTATATGCTTTTGGGAGAACTATATATTAGTTTTTAGAACAAAAGACCCTTCATTATAATAATCTTTGTTTTTTTATTTTTGAACAATTATAGTAATCTTTGTTAACCAAAGCATAAGTTTTTAAAGAATTATCGTTCAATACCTGCGTATGTCTTAACAATTCTTGTAAATCCTTGAATGCTTCTTTTCTATTTTTTCTTATTTTTTTTTCATTTGTTTGCAATGTATTCAGATATGGGAGATACGTGCACTTTTTGGGACATGGGCTTGGCGGATAAGACTTCTGAGGACAGAAGATTCAGATATAAGTACTCTGAAAATCCTTCTGAGGAAAACACTGAGATAAGTATTCTGAAAATCCTTTTGAGGATAACACTGAGGACAGAAGGTTCAGATATAAGTATTCTGAAAATCTTTCTGAGGAAAACACTGAGGACAGAAGAGAAAAATATAAGCGTTACGGAAATCCTATTGAGGAAAACACCGACGACACTTTGTTCGGATATAAGTATTCTGAAAATCCTTCTGAGGAAAACACTGACGACAGAAGGGAAAAATATAAGCGTTACGGAAATCCTTTTGAGGAAAACACCGACGACAAAAGGTTCAGATATAAGTATTCTGAAAATCCTTCTGAGGAAAACACTGAGGACAAAAGGGAAAAATATAAGCGTTACGGAAATCCTTTTGAGGAAAACACCGACGACAAAAGGTTCAGATATAGGTATTCTGAAAATCCTTCTGAGGAAAACACTGAGGACAAAAGGGAAAAATATAAGCGTTACGGAAATCTTTTTGAGGAAAACACCGACGACAAAAGGTTTAGATATAGGTATTCTGAAAATCCTTCTGAGGAAAACACTGAGGACAAAAGGGAAAAATATAAGCGTTATGGAAATCCTTTTGAGGAAAACACCGAGGACGGAAAGTTCAAATATAAGTATTCTAAAAATCCTTCTGAGGAAAACACTGAGGACAGAAGGGAAAAGTTCAAGATATATAGTATTCTAAAAATCCTTCTGTAGGAAACACCTGAGCGATCGAGAAGTGGAAAAAGTATAAAAGATATGGAAAATCCATTTGAGGAAACACCGAGGACGGAAAGTTCAAATATCGTATTCTGAAAATCCTTCCGGAGGAAAACCATTTGGAGAACAGAAGGGATAAAATATATAAAAGATAGAAGTGAGAAATGTCCATAAACTGACAATCTCCCTTAATATAAGTATTCTGAAAATCCTTCTGAGGAAAACACTGAGGACAGAAGGGAAAAATATAAAAGATATGAGGAGAAATTCCATAAACACAATCTCCCTAACTCAACTGTGTTTTTTGTATATAATGATCTTCATGCAGGTCAGAAAATGAGAGTTCATATAACAAAATCTACAAACAAAGCTAGAATCTTGCCTCGTCAAGTTGCTGAATCCATACCTTTCTCAACTGATAAGTTGTCAGAAATTTTTCAACGTTTCTCTGTAGACCCTGAATCACGCCAAAGTAAAGTCATGAAACAAACTATAGAGGATTGCGAGTCACCTGGTATTAAAGGAGAAGACAGATATTGTTCCACTTCTTTAGAGTCTTTGATTGATTTTAGTGTTAAACATGTTGGGAATAAAGTTCAAGTTCTTTTTAATAAGGTAGATGAACCCAAAAGAGTTCAGGAGTACACAATCATGGATGTCAAGTTCATGGGAGAAAATCATGTAGTGTGCCACAAGCAAAAATATCCATATGCTGTATATTATTGTCATGCACTAAATGGTACTAGAGTTTATACAGCTCAGTTGGTGGGTGCTGATGGTACTGAAGCTGAAGCAGTTGCTGTTTGCCATTCAGACACATCTGATTGGAGTCCAAAACACATGGCCTTTTTACTCCTCAACATGAAGCCGGGAGAAGGGACAATTTGCCACTTTATTAGAAGTGATACACTTGTTATGGTATCCGCTGATGAAGATATTGAAAAAACCTCTAATGATACCAATCTCCTCAGTCATGCTTAGAGTTTAAGCTTGCTTTCTGGTTGTACTAGTACCTATGGTGGATCTCGCAATAAGTCATTTTTTCAAGTGACAATCTTTGTATTAGAGTGTGCGAACATACTCAACATTTGTGTCTATCTATCACATGTAGATCCATATGCGAAGTTCGTATATATGTTGTACTACAATGTTGTGCTTAATTTAATTTCATGGGAGTTTTAGTGTGCTTGTTTCTTCTATGCACTAAAATAAACAAACAATTTTAAATTTATTGATCTTTGTTTTCTTTTTCTTTTAAAAAGTTCCAACATACTAAAAGACATTATTATCTAAAATCACTATCGTAAAAAAATTTAGATCAATATGTAAATAAAAAAAAAAGATATATATGTGTGACCGGTCTAAGAATTTAGGATTATGATTCACGGTTTAAATTTTAGGTTTTTAGGATTTTGAGTTTAGGTTTTTAGAATTTTAGTATGTAAGATGTTATTATGGTTTAAGATCTAGAGTATACTATTTTAAAATTTGTAATCTAAAATTTAGTGTAAATTTAAGACTCCATTTATTTTCATAAAATAACTTGTAGAAAAATATTTTTCATAATTTTCCGTTGTTTGGGGCGTTCTGAAAAATCTAGTCCATTTTAAGGAAAATGACAGCCCATTTTAAAAGAGAAACATTTTCTGACCATTAATAAACTTATTATAACCTTATAAATTTATATTTTTTAATTTATTAATTACCAGTAGCTACAACCACTAGTCACCATTCACCACCACTGGCCACCACCACCGCCGGCATCGACACCGTCTACTACCACCATCGGTCACAGGTGACTTTCATAATTTACCTTTCTTTTGTATCCTTCTCATATTCAACAATACAAATTTTAAAATACAAAATTTCTATTATTATGAATACTTTTATGGTCTTATGAGTTAAAATTTTTTAATATCTTTAACTAATTTTCAATATTGCAACTAAACAAGAAAAAATAAGTCATTTGAAAAATATTTTAACTAATTTTCAATATTGCAACTAAACAAGAAAAAATAAGTCATTTGAAAAATATTTTTCAAGCTTGGAAAATATTTTCCAAATGTAAGTTATTTTCCGAAAGCCTAAGTTAGGCTAACGGCAAAAATTAAATAATCTTCTATATAATATATAAAATGAGAGTAGTTTGCCTTATATGGAAACCAAGTGTAAGAAACACAGTTTCTTACAGTGTTTTGGATTATGAAATGACAAATGTTAGAATTCTGAATTAAGTTGTTGGACTATTTTTTTTTTTTTTTATCGTAGAGTTAACCTCCTCCTATTTTAATTTATTTATTGTAGTTTTCATTAAATAACCTCTCTTTGAGAGGAAATAATTTTAGAGTAATAACAAAGACGAATTTGACTTACCAAGGACTATTAAAAATATGTTTTAGTTGTAATTCAAGCAGATTTCGATTCATTCATTAATTTATATAAGAAATACGACATAAAAATAAAATTAAAAAAAAACACTTAATTTTATCTTAAGAAAATAAATAAAAAACATAGTTGATTAAGCTTGCGTTGTATGTATGTAGTCTCAATATTACCGAGCTAAGTTGCATGGACAGGAGATATAAGAAACGACACGAACAATTTTTTAAAAAAAAAGTAGGACATTCCAATACTTAGAACACACTACAACTAAGGCCTCCATTTGTTTTCGTTAAAATAACTTGTAGGAAAATGATTTTTCCATAATTTTCGTAAAATAACTTGTAGGAAAATATTTTCCATAATTTTCCGTTGTTTGGGGCATTTAGAAAAATAAATCAATGGAAAATATTTTCCTGATCAAAGGAAATCAAGTCATTTTTAAGGAAAATGACTTACCATTTTCAATAGCGTAAAATATTTTCTGCACTTTGACAAACTTATTTTGACCTTATAAATTTTTATTTTTTTAATTTATTAATCATTGGTAGCCGCTACTACCATTCACCATATATTGTTCTAAACTTGATAATCATCCTTTCAATGTTTTCTAGTAAATCACTGCTATTTAGTCTCCCCCTAGATGTTCAATGTTAGCTTATTAAAAGTTGAGACTTACTTCGAAAACCTATGGAAACTTGCCCATCTTAATTCATCTGCTTACACTAGATCAGTTTGGAGTCAGCAGTGACAGATCAATAGAACTGTTCCATGTTGGTCACATTTCATTGATTCTAAAGCAAGGTGCAGGTACGTCACAAGGTTTCTTCTTTTTGTTGGTTCCTCTTTGAAATATAAAGTTGAAGGTATAGTGATGTAAATCCTTTACCCTCAAAGAGTCCAGATACTGTATTGCTCAGTTGCTTCTTTTGATTTCACATATTTGCACCTTTAGAAACTGAAATCCTTTTATGGAATTTCGTATTTCATATAAAAGCACTTTTCAGCTGTTGTTCTGTTAGCTCATTAAATGTGTTTGGTTTGTCATGTGATATCACTACCTCGATTTATTGTCTGCTGTTCTTGTGACAGAAAATGTTGCATTAACTGTCCAGCTCATGAGATGGTTTATTATGCATTTTGATTTTGAAGCTGAAGTTATTCTTCTTTTTAATGTGTTTTACACGCATGACCTTGAATGAGTATGTTTCTATGTCTGAATGCGTATATGTATATATATATAATTCAATTACTTTGTTATTAGAATTCATTAATTAGTGGCAGCAGGCTATTCTTCAGTCCTTTGGCAGTTGATTTATGTTTAATTTGGGCCCATTGTCATATGTTCATTAATTAGTGGCAGCAGGCTATTCTTTAGTCCTAATTTGGCAGTTGAATTTATGTTTAATTTGGGCCCATTGTGATATGGTAATGGTTATTTCTGTCCCTTCAAATCTGCCATGTGGTTGTGCTTGCCAATCTATAAAAAACTGCATTCATAAGTATACTTCTTCCTCTGGATTTACTTCATAAAGGACCACTGATATTGCACTATATTTCAGGTACCTAGATATTGTTGGTTTAAAAGAGCACAAAATTAAGGAAGAGGAGGAAAATTCTGCAGAGAAGGAAAATCTGCAGATTTGGTAAGTGTGGAGAAACAAATATTCACATCTCATTAATGTAAATATTTATACTAAACTTATTCTAAAATTTGTTCACCAACCTTCCATAAGTCAAGGAAAAGTCAAGGGAAGTTTGGTTCAACTAAACCTACCTAAAAGCAAGGTAGTTCACTACTTCTTGACTCATAAAGTACAACCAAATCTAAATGACTTTAACAAAATAACTTTCAAAAACCTATCAACAACACTTGCAATCAATTTCTTCAATGGAGCTATAAGCTATAATTTTAACACTCCTCCTTGATGCAAGAGTTGAGACAAACACCAAGTCTATTCCTAAGAAATTCAAATCTTGATTTTTGCAATGCCTTGGTGAAAATATCTGTGTTTGGTCTTCAGAACTACAATGAATAATTTGAATTTTATTTTCCTTTTCAGCTTCATGCATTGCATGGTACTTGATTTTTGTATGCTTGGTTTTTCCATGGAAGATTGGATTCTTAACTATAGCAACAGCTGATTTGTTGTCACAAAGTATTTTAGTTGGATTCTCTTAATGAAAATTCATAATCATCTTCAACTCCTCCTCCATGGCAGCTCTCCACTCAGACAATTTTAAGGCTTCATCCACCTTAGTTGGTTCAAGTGAGACAACATTACATCAACATACATCTGCTGTAAATTTCCTCTGGGACTGTTCCTCTACTTGCATCATCTTCATTTGATCATCTTCATTATCAACTGGAAGTTACTTGCTCTTTGCTGAAAATGATCTTGTTCAGAATTGATTTAGAATTTCCTAGTTTTCCATATTTAACTCCATCCCATTCACCTTTCTCATCGAAATTTGTCACCTCTTGCCGCAAAACCTATTTAGTAAACAGGATTGCAAAATTCTGTAGGCTTTTGGATTCATTGTTGTTTTCAAAACTACAGATGGCAAATAGCAACTAACTTCTTGGATTTGTAGATTTTAAAATGAATTGAGATTGGGTGTGACCAAGTCTCTTATCACAAAATCAGCTTCTTTATGACTCAAGCAAGATTCTTCTTCGAAGTTTCTTAAATTTAAAGGAAAGCTTCTCCGTTTCATTTTGACAGCAATTAACTTTGAGCCAGAAGCATCGCTTATTTCACAAGTTTTATTTTTAAATAGCAAACTGTAATTCTTATCCAGCAATTGACCAACCAAAAACAAGTTTTGATTAAGCTCAGGTACATAAAGAACATCGGAAACATGCTTTGTACATGAACGAGTTTGTACAAATCAGCAACTAACTTCTTGGATTGCAGCAATTTTAATGAATTGAGATTGGTGTAACCAAGTCTCTTATGCCACAAATCAGATTCTTCTTTATGACTCGAGCAAGATTCTTCTTCACCAAGTTTTTGGTGTCATGTGGTTGGTTAGTGCAGCCACTATCAACAAGCCATGTTTCTTTAGCTTCAATTAAGACATCACATTTTTCGATTTCTTTTGCAGCAAATAGTTGCTCTTCATACTTTTCAGAATTTTTGGTGAATTGTGCATGATGGGCTTGTGTTTGTTGATTCTGGTTTGTAAAACAAACTTTCTCAGTGTGACCAAATTGCTTACAAACCTTACATTCAGCTCCAGGTCTGAACCAGCAGTAGTTCTCAATGTGGTTTGTTTTTTTGCAATGTGGACAACGTGGAAATCTGTCCTTCCTCCAATTTTTTTTTGAAATTCTTCTTCATTTTTGGTTGTTGAGTCACTACAAGAGCCTTTTCTCCAAAGGTTTCTTCTTCCCTATAGGCTTTTCTTTGTTCTACAGCTTGTAGAGCATTTGAAAGCACATTCAATGATATTTATGATATATTCCAAGTATCTTGAAGAGAAGAAATCTTGGCTTCAAATTTTTCAGGGAGAGTCACCATAACTTCCTCCACAATTCTTTTCTCTTCTAACTCTTCTCCCAACAATCGAATTTGGTTTACAATTTTCATAACTCTATCAACATAATCTTTCACATTTTCATTGTCCTTCATTTTCAACATTTCAAATTCTTTTCTTAAATTAAATACCTGCATCTATCTAGTTTTTTCAGATCCATGATAATGATACTCAATTTTTAACTTCTCCCAAGCTTTCATGTGCTGTCTCACATGTCATAAGCTTGGTGAAGATAGGTCTGCAACAGCTGCATGGATATCAGGACAGAGCCTTTTGTAGGCCTTGGCAACCTCTTCTTCATGTTGTCAATCTGCTGAAGGGTTGGATTTTGATAAGAGGTGGAGGTACTCTAATTTTCCTCCACATCATTGGCCATAGATCCAAGCCCTTGAAATAAGCTTTCATCTTCACAGCCCAAACATGGTAGTTTTTTCCCCATTAAAAATGAGGGTGGTTGAAAGAGACATGCGCTGGAAGCCCATTGAGGAAAAGCAAATAAAAGCAGAAAATTTTCACAAATTCTAAGTTTTATTTGGTGGGCTTTCTCTTATGCTTTTTCAACTCCAAAACACACACACAGCCCTTCGAGATCAAGATTGCTCTGATACAACTTCTTGGTTTAAAAGAGCAGAAAATTAAGGAAGAGAAGGAAAATTCTGCAGAGAAGGAAAATACGCAGATTTTGTAAGTGTGGAGAAACAAATATTCACATCTCCTTAATTCCATTACAGCATAATGTAAATATTCATACTAAACTTATTCTAAAGTTTGTTCACCAACCTTCCATAAGTCAAGGAAGTTTGTTCACCGAACCTACCTAAAAGCAAGGTAGTTCACCTACTTCTTGACTTCAATAAAGTACAACAAAATTTAAATGACTTTAACAAAATACCTCCAAAAACTATCAACAACACTAAAAACTATCAACAACACTTGCATCAATTTCTTCAATGGAGCTGTAGCTGTAACTTTAACAGATATGACATCGAGGCAAGGTGGAAGTGGACGTTCACGGAGAGCTCAAAATGAACCAATTTCTGATTCACAGCCACAACAATCAGCACAACCACAACAATCCGCACAACTACTCCTACCACCACAGCTAACAATAGCAACTAACTTAGGTCCATCTAGTTCTACACCAGTCACAAGTACACCATTATCATCATCTACCCCTGCTACTGCAACTGAAGGTATTGGATCCTCAACTGCCTCCACTACAACTACAGGCAATCGAGTAATCCTTCGACTTGTAGGAAACAAGTAAGAATATAAAATATTAAAAAACTCTATTATTTAAAAAACTCTATTATGTATATATATTTTGATTCTGCAAAATAAAGGTTTTTTATGTACATAAAACTATTGATTGCTTCTTACTTGTTTTAGTTTGGAGCCATATAATTTTGCCAGCAAAATTACTGAATCTTTCATAAAGAAATTGGATCTAGCTGGTTATGAATGGAAGTTTGTGCCTCCAGAAACAAAGAACATATATTGGTAAGAGTTTAAGGTGTTATACTCTATTCTTTTCCTTTCCTTGGACTATATTTTCCTCAAGATATCATATGACTTGTACATTAATAATAGACTATATAATATGACTTGTACATTTTGTGTCTATATTTTTTTTTGTTCTTTATGAATTTAGAAACATTATGTGTGGGATGGGGAGATTGAGGCCTCAGTAAAAAAATTTGGAGTGCAGGCTATAGAACGCTATAGAGGCATGCTTGGTAAATGGCGGAAGAATAAGTCCAAATATATCATATATCCCAAATGATATTTGAAATAGTTGGAAGCCTCATTGGGAGACTCCTGAATTTAAAGTAAAATCTGAAAAATGTTCCAAGAGTTGCCTTACTGAGACTGGTGGCCCAGGTGCTGGTCCTTCAGGACATATAGGAGGCTCTATCGCTCACACAGTACACGCAAAACGTTTGGTATTTTTTTTTTTTTCCTTAATGCAAATTATTTTAATGCTCAGTTATTTATTTTTCCAAGGATAAGGTAATAACTATGGTAAAATTTTAGGAGGTTGAATTATGGAAACCCTCACTTCCACATGAGGTTTTAGCGGTGACACCACTAGAAAGAAGGATCGGCAATTCGTGGAGGATCGGCAATTCGTGGACCAAGGTTCCAAGGAATACATTTGTAAATTGAATACATTTGTAAATTGACAATCATTGAAAATTAATATTATTCTTCTAATATTTCAGCAGTTAAAGTGTAAGTACTTATCATTATATGTTTTTATTTCTTTCAGGAGGTTGTTGTATCTAAAGTTCAAACTGAATCTCAATCTGAAGAGGGATCTAGTCAATCACGCTTAGTTGACGCTACTTAGATACACCTTCAAGAAGTTGGCGGCGTTAAGAAGCATCGAGTATATGGTCTCGGTTCACAAGCATCTGTTTTATTTGGTCACTCCAGCACCTCTAGCTCTTTTGCTACATCTCTCCTTCATCTCTCCTTCAAGAACAAGATGGTGAAAATATTGATGCTCGAATTCAGGAGATGTTAAATCAACGAATGAAAGAGCTGGAGATGCGATATAAACAGGAGTTGCAATTGCAACAACAGTTGATGCAGGAAAAATTGCAGCAGCAAGTTGCTTGTTCGCACTCATTTCGCACCTACAGTTCCGCCAGCTCCTACTTCACAGCATCTTTCATTACGCACTCCTTCAGATACTCACACTAATGCTCAGGATGATGGTAATATCTAGGTAGACTTTAGTTAATTTGTATTAAAAGATATAAGTTTATCAGTAGCTATGAGACTTAGAATTGTTTGTATTTGTGAAAAAATTTATGTCGTCTTGATATTTTATGTATACTTCAAATTATTTAAATGTTAGGCTAACTAACTTTCTCTATTTGATTTTAATTAATTTCATTATAAATGTATAAATTTAAAAATTAGAAATAGGGCAGTAAATGTATAAATTTAAAAATTAGAAATAGCAGGATTAAAATATTAAAAATTACGGAATTTTTTCAACTGGATAAATAGAAATGGAGCCGAAAAATACTATATGATTAGAAACGGATTTAGCAACGGAAAATAACTTAGCGAGGGAATTAGAAACAGATTTAGCAACGTAGAATTTTAGAAATACTTTTTTTTAATGTTAGAAACGGATATCAAAAACGGATAAAAATGATTAGAAACGTAAGTAGCAATGGATTAGCGACTGATGAGAAACAAATTTAGAAACTAATATAGAGATGGAATGGTAATAGATCGGAAATGAAATTCGTTGCTATGAGGTCAGAACATAGAAATGAATTTATGGAAAACTAGCAACGATATATCCATTGCCATATAGAAATGGATTTAAAATCATTTCTAAACTGATTTAGGGACGCCCCAAGTCGTCACGGACCCGATCCGTTTTTGATCTGTTACAAACAGTTTTAGCAACGGATAGGGCTCATTTAGAAACGGAAAAATCGTTGCTATTTGGCAATTTTCTTGTAGTGTTGATAATAGAAATCACTTTGACTACAATATTAGTATTAGTTACCTAATGTATCAGAGAAAAGAATATATGCACATACACATAAATTCTTGGAATTCAAAATAGAAATATATAGTTGTAGTTTTTTTTTCAATTTCCTAAACATTATTTTCTTTTAAGTCAAATAGATTTAAAATATAAGAAAATTAAAATATGAAGAAAATTAAAAATGCCTAATTATCAATAGGCCATTTATTTATTACAATAGAGATATAAATATCTTATTAAATTAAAATAATAGTAGTTACAAATTATTTAGTAACAAAAAAGAAAATAAAAAAATATTGTTAAGAATAAAACTCTTGCAAAACTCATCTAGCTAAGAAATTTGAAATTTGCTAAATAAATAAAACTCTTACAAATTATTTAGTAGTTAAAACGCTTAATTATCTACCGCATTTATGTTAAAAAATATATTTTTTCAATTTATTAAGAAATTTGATAGGCTGAAATAATACTTGTGGTCAAGTGTATTAAGAATAATTCTCCTATAGACTCATCAAATTGGTGAAACCACTTATGATCAAGAGAAATAGAACTCGAGACATCTCACTCTTCACATAAGTGAGAAAACAATTAAATCACGTACGATTGGCTTAAAAAATAATTTTTATAAATATATTTGATCAACTAACAAAATACAATTTTATAATTGATTATGACTAAGATTATTTTAAGATATCCTAAATTTTATTAAATATATATCGAAAATCTTATTATTCATAGTATACTCTCATATTTATATACAAAGTATAGATTATAGATAAGGAATCACTCTAAATACACATTCTAATAGGTTAGAATTGACTACTACTCCGAGTAAACGGTCTTCGGACCAATTAATTAAAAAAAACAAAATTCAAAGTAGGTGGTTTAGCCACACTGACAATTTTATACAGACAATTTTCTCTTAAATTTAAGCCAAACAACATTTTCTCTTAAATTTAAGCCAAACAACAGTCCCAACTGGACAAATATAGAGAATCAATTCAATCAATATGAACAAAGACAGTAAACACGAGTGTCTATGCCCATCTAACTGGGATTGCTATTTCCATATCAGTGAGAATTTCAAAGAAAAGGGAACACAAGCAGCCAAAACATACTGACAACAAGAAATAACTTTATTTGAAAAATGGCATTAAATATACACTTAATTATAAAAATTTAAATTTAGAGCACTTTAATAGAAATTCAAGCATTTATGTTCTTATTATCACTTTTAAATTTAAATTTGCCTTTTCATATCACCTACAATTATGAGCAGTAAAATGACAAAACAAACTTTTCAAAAATTTACTACTCGAACAAAAAAGTGATAAGCCCATCATTTTCTAATAAGTCAACACTCAACAGCACAACTGAAATAATCAAGAGAAAAATATGAAAGAAAGAATACCTGAAAGCATCAATGTATGTTGATATTGTATTGACATCAATACCACAGGCCTTTGCACGTGCACGTTTCTTCTAACAACTCTGGTACATGGATACGGTTGAGCCCCCGAAATTAATTCCTCACCTGAAGACGGATGAACCAAATAAATAACATCCCCTCAAGCAAATAAGATTGAAGTTAACAAATGGAAAGCAAGTAACGAAAAGCAAGTACATGCATCACCAATAGATCACTCCATTTACAAAAGCATGTAATTATATTTCAAAGGGGTTTCAAAGGAAAACTCAAATTATGATTTATCACAATATGCCAGATCTAACAAAACCTTGAAATATAAATAAAACAATGACACTGCACAAGAACTCTCTGTACCTCGAATAAAGACATCAAACGAGTTGCTGTACTTTGCATCATCATAGCATGGCATGGTGTAGAAGGGCCTAACAGCCAATGGATAGCGATGAAGAATGTAAAACTCAGTCCCATACCTATAATGAAAAGCAAATAGTCCACTCATTAGCTTTCTCTTCCACTCGATAACTTTCTCTAAAGCAGGGAATAATGCTTAGGAAATATGGAAAATCACAGAATATGGAATTAATTCTCTAAAACAAGCTGGCCTAATTTTCTCTCTGCTTCTGTATTCAAGTCCCCATGAGGATGAACTTCCACTCCTGCTTCCTGCACAAAGAAGGCACATGCTTTCCAACCAGCACAAGTGATAATGCAGTGGTCTTATAACGAATATTAACCATCTCGCATTTAAAGATCAACTATATTAATTGCCAAATGCTTTATTCTTGTCAAGCACCATCACAGCCAAACTATTTCTCAAATATACATCTAGGCACTCCAACAAACACAGCACAGACATGGATTGAAAACACTCAAGATGGAAAACAAAATGCAGGGGAAGTGTTTCAAATCCATCTATAACTATAGAACTCTAGATAAATTTGGTACTGACATTTGAGATGGATAATTAATGAATTGTGAGACCATCTGATCTGAAATCTGCATCTCCCATCAAATTGATCAACACAACCAAACCTAATTTTGCATCAGTTTCGTGTATAAACATGATATTTAATTTCTAAACTTACTAAATATCTGTAAAACTTACTAAAAATATCCCTGTATATAAAAACCACCAAAAAGACACTAAAACCTACTTTTTCACCAAAACTAAAAGATAAATGTTCCATAGAAATCATTTTTGCTAATTCTTCTTTTTGTATTTTTTCAGAATATATAAATAAAGAAGGTTAGAAGCGTACCCGAAAATTTGCATGGTAAGAATATAGAGTAGAGTAGAGAAGAATAAATGATTAATATAGAGTAGAGTGTAGTATATGGTAGAGAGAGTAAGTAGAGAGTGTAGTATATTGTAGAGAGAGTTGAGATGTTTTTGTAATGAATTTGTAAATAAAATGAGGTATTTATAATAAATCCAAAAATTCATTTTTCTAAAAATACCCTTGAAACTAGCCGTTATGTAGCCGCCGTTTAATGTAGCCGTTAATGGCTGTTGGGAGGGGTAATTAAGACATTTCACAACAATTAAAAAAAAAAAAAAACACCAAGGTCTGACAGTTACAACGGCTAGAACGGCCCGGTGTTCCTAGACCGGCCCGGAGAACCGGCGGTTCCAGTCCGGTTCTCTGGAAACCGCCGTTCTAGTTCGCCGGTTCTAGTTCCTTATTTGCTGGAACCGGAACCGAACCGGATTTTTCTGGTTCCGGTTCCGATTCGTCCCGATTCCGGTTCTCACCGGTTCCGGGCCGGTTCGAACCAACAGTTCCGGTTCCCGGAACCGTAATATGGCCATGCTTACTCTAGCATATTCATTACCAACAATTTTCTTTTTTTGTTCTCATTCCCTCTAGCATAATGTATCATACAATTTCTTTTTTTTATAGTCAATTAAAATAGGGATATTTAGTATTATTAAATTAAATCATAATTATTTTTTTATTTAATCTGGTGTTTTTCTATTTATTTGTACTTATACATACTAGTTTAATTTTTAAGTTGTACAATGTTTGTTATTCAAATATACTCATTGTTTAAATATTAACAATTTGTTATCATAATAAAATGTTTAGTCCTTAAAATTTTTAATGAGTTAAGATATATAGAGTTCCGATATTAATCCATGTAATAATAAATCTATATAGTAGATAAGTTATGTAATAATAAATCTATATAGTAGATAAGTTATTTTGATATCAGGATTCCTATTACCAGCTATAAAATAAATCTTCTTATTTAACTAGTTCTCTGCATGTCTCGGAAATAAAATTAAAAATGCTTCAACAGATGTACCAGCAACTGAAAGGATTTTTTGAGTGTGAAGTTTCCGTTTGGGACTTGGGAGAAGAATGAGACTTCTCGGTTTCCCTCAATTGCATTCTCATAATGGTACAGGTCGCACAAGGGGTGTTTTGGTCTTTTTATATGATTTTAACATCTAAAACCATATAATTTGGATAGAGGGATCTTTTAATAAAATGGAGGTAAAAGTAACGGATGAGTTCAATATTATATTAAATATCGGAGACTACTTAAATAATTATGCTAAATCTAAGAGACTAAATAATTATTTTTCCAACAATTAATTAATATTATTGAGCTCAGGGGCACAATAAGAGCAATTCTAAAGGGACAAATTATATATATACTAAAACAAAATCCAAAATCACTGTTCATAGAATAGTGTTATACCTAAGGGTGGCCATATTACTGTTTCGGAAACCGGAACCGTCGGTTCGAACCGGTCCCGAACCGTAACCGGAATCGGGCCGAACCGGAACCGAAACCGAAAATTTCCGGTTCGATTCCGGTTCCAGATTTCTGGAACCGAAACTGGAACCGAAACTGGCGGTTCCAGAAAAATCGGTCGGAAATCGAATTGGAATAGCCGGTTCCTCTGGCCGTTAGAATCCGACGGTTCTAGCCATTATAAACTGGTCAGACCAGTTTTTTTTTTTTTTTTTAATTTTGTTGGTGAAATCTCTTATTACCCCTCCCAATAGCTATAAACAGCTACAGTAACGGCTAGTTTCAAAAGGTATTTTTGGTATTTAATATGATTTTTTGGATTTATTTATAAATACCTCAATTTCCCATTTACAAATTAATTACAAAATAATCTCACTCTCTCTACTTTACTCTCTCTACAATATACTACACTCTACTTACTCTCTCTACAATATAACTACACTCTACTACAACTCTACTCTATATTATTCTTGCTCTACTCTACAATCTCTTCTTATTAAGTTATTATTCTCTCTAATTTTTTTTAATTCAATTTTCTAATTATATCTTATTATCAAATATAATGGCAGTGGAGGAAACTCAAAAATTCGGGTAAGGGCAAGGGAAAGATTGGAAAAAACACAATATTCATCTATCCCTAACAAACGAAATCTATATTTCACTCCCAACCAATTTAATTTTGAGGGATATCCAAATGAAAAATTTGGAAATTCCCAACTCAAGAATCTGAATTTAATGAGCAATTTAACGAAGAGGAAGAGCAAGAGCCAAGAGCAACCGAAGCAGCAAAATGTTGGAAGAGGCAAAGACAAAGTTCCACATATTCGCCATTTCATTTCACGAAAAAATTCAAAGGTGAGAAAATGTGACGATATAATTTGGCATTATTGTGCAAATCTTATCAATTTAAACAAGCGGGCGGCTATGGATCATTTTGGAAGTATTTGGAAGGACAAACATCCAACAAAAAATAGGAGTTGATCGGTCCTCAAACACAAAATTTTTCGGGTACTGCATCTTCTAAACCTTTCTTTACTTCAATATTCCTGAAAAAAATACAAAAAGGAAAGAATTAGCAAAAATGATTTCTATGAACATTTAACTTTTTAGTTTTGGTGAAAAGTATGTTTTTCATAATTATTGTCAAAAAGCTCTAAAATCCTTATGCTAAAAAGAGTGCCAAGAAAATACTGATAAAACGAACTATTATTTCTTTATATAATAAAGGAAAAAAAAGAGTTTAGACTTTTTATTTTCTCAAATGAAAATTCGTGTTCAATTTGTTTTGATATTTGGGTGATTCATGGCAAATGCAATCCTTATATGGGCATAATATGTCATTGGATTGATGATTGATTGAAAAAATTCAAAAAAAGAATTATTGCATTTCCGTGTTTTTGATGTAAACATACTGCAAATAATATTTATAGAATAATGTTTCATATAATGAATATAAGTTACAAAAAAAAAATTTTTTCCATTTCATTTGATAATGCTTTCTGCTAATACTATCAATTATGAAGCTTAAAAATAATTTTGTGAACCAAATATGGTGAAAAAATTTTTCAATATAAGATGTGCATGCCATGTTTTATAATTATGTGTAAACAAGATGGTTTTAATAATTCTTGAATCTTTTTATTTCTCCAATTAAAAAAGCGTATTTATATTTATGGTGACATCCCTAAAGTGATAAAAAAGTTGGGTAAATTTTGTAAAGAAATAATAAAAGACCCAAAAACGTTTTTTCCAAAGGGAGTGTCCGCTAACTCGTTGGAAATTCAACTATGATACTTAACGAGTCTTTTTCTTATAAAAAATATTTATGGCTTTTTTGTTACTAATATATTGAGGATATTAATTATATCCACAAAAATTGGGATATTTGTGCAAAAATTTTAGGAATATTTTTAAAAAATTTTTAATGATGCTAACCTATAAATTAGTGGGTTTATTATCCACATCCTCATTTATTTTTACCTATGTTATTAATATTGTTAGTGCACTCCAAGAATTTGAAAATGATGATGTAATTAAAAGATTGTATTTTTTTCAATGAAAAAAAAAATGGTTATCTTATTTTAAAAATATACCACCCCTTTATCTTGTTGCTATTGTATTTGATCCTAGATGTAAAATTGGATGTTTTTTATGTGAATTATTTTGACTATGTTATTATGAAGTATTAAATCTTGATGTAGAAGATAATGTTAATATAAATGTAGTAATGCATGAAGTTAAACAAAATATTATGCAATTATATAATGAATGAATTTGTTCAATTTTCTAGTTCATCTAGTTCTAATTCTTCTCAATCTAATATTCAACAATTTCCAACACAAAGGATAAGTGGTGTTGGTGTTGCTCAACAGGTTTTACTACAAAGATAAAAAAGACCAAGGAAATCGAGTTCTTTTTCTGAATTCTAACCACTTCTTTTGAGTTTGGTGATGATTATGCAGATACTGATTTTCCAATTTTAGATTGGTGGAGTCGTCACGCAAATACTTTTCCAATTATTTCTTTAATTGCAAAACAAGTTTAAGCAGCTCCGGTCTCCACTGTTGCGGTTGAACAAGCTTTTAGTCAAGGAGGAAACATACTTGATGAAACACGATCTCGTATGACACCGGATTCATTAGAAGCATAATCATGCGTGGATGATTGGACCAAGGCCGAATTAAGAGCCCAAGAAAATCCAAAAGAAAATGAAGATTTATATGATTTATTATGATTTATACGATGGGTCCTCAACGGGAACATCAATCGGTGGTGCAAATAGCGATTAAGGTAAAAGGGGTGAAAATTGGTAATAGGTAAGTAAGAAACTACGTGGGTTTGGATTCCTGCTAAACCCCAAGAGGATACGTAGGGCAAACTTAATTTTTTTTAAAAAAAAAAAATTTAATTCACAGTCCCTTTTTTTTTTTTTGTTTTAAATTATGTTCAAACT